TTGAAATCTATTTTACTTCAATTATAATAAAATTTTAATGTCTATAATTACAAACAGATCTTTTGGAAAATCTATTTTTAAAAATGTTAGTAAGGCTGGTCTTATTTTACCTTTTAAAGTTGTATTTTGCCACTTTAGTAATATAATGTGTTTTTAGTTATCTAAAAAAAAATGTTATTCATGATAATCTCGCTAGAGGTGCTTCTAAATAAATAAATAAATATTCAAGACACTAAAATGAGCTCCGCCTATAGTAATTTTACTGTTAATTTTTAAATGTAAGTAGATTAGGATTTGACTACGATATAAATTGCGATGGAATGGTTAAGTTATTAATCAAAAGTATTGAGTTAATTAGAACTTTCGAAAATAGAAAAAAACTTATTGAGAGCGTGGTCCCAAAAAATAAGTCTTTAAATGTGCGAATACAAATTTAATCAAACTACTATATGAGTATCAAATATCAAACGAAAAAAAAAGATTAGGATTCAATTTCTATTGACAAAAAATTTGAGACATCTAACCCTTGATCATGATTAAGACGATGCATCGAATTGGCCTATAATTAAAATATTCTATTGCAGCAATTTGTACAGTAATTTAACATTAAAGATCTGATTAGGGACATAATCGTAGACTTATTAATTAATTAGGTTGTATTTAGCATTATTAAATAAAAGTTGTCTGGAGATTAATTGTATGCAGAGATGACGATGCTAATGGAAGTCATGGTCAACGACTTCAACATAAATTATTAACTCGAAAATATGCATGATCACCTTAATTATGGAGATCCATACAACACAAATGTACCAAATCAAGAATAATTAACTTATTTGTCCTATGTTAGTACACCTCTGGGCTTTAGTCATTTTTATTTGTCCAATTAAAAAATTAAGAAATATCAGGTTAATTAATTTTTAATTTTCTCTCATTATTAAATATGGTTATTTTTTAAAATATATTTTTCAAAATATTGGATTAGTATATTTAAAGGGATGATATAGTAAATTTATCATTTTATTAATTATTTCTTAAATGATGTGTCAATCAATCAAACATGAATAAATAAAAATGAACAAAGAGAATATATTTTTTTCTAACCATCTTGGACTTTTAATTTATTGACCGAATAACTAATTATTATTCAAATTAACTAATTATTCACATCATACTTTCTAGCAATTAAATGTTTACGAGGATAAAAATTTTGAACTTAAGAGTACTAAAGGACAAGAACTTCAAGTATTATTATGTTGAAAATTTAAGTTTTGTATATACTTTATGAATTTTTAAAGTTATTAAATTTTAATTTGTCGAACACATATAATATAATGGTAGTTGTTGATACAGGAAAAGCTAAGTTTGTACTAAAACTGTTGAGGAATACATGTTTTATTCCTTTAAATGATTGCCACGTACAGTGTGAAAAAGAATATAGAGAAGTTGAATATATTTACAAGCAAAGGTCAACTAACACGTACATACTGTTTTTCTTCTTGTATGATTGAATTATAAAATACTTCATAATATATATATATATATTGTAGCTAGAGTATGTTTCTCTTAAAAGTATAAGAAAGAACTAAACACAAGGAAAGTATATTTTTCACTTTTTAAAAATGTTTCATGATCAAGGTTAAAAATAGATTGATTAAAATTTTTGATGCATATATAGAAATTGTGCCAATTAATGAACCTTATGACATGTGCATGCAAGTTTGACTAAATGATATATATATATATATATATATATATATATATTTGATCACAAATTTTATATGATTTGACTATGATATATATTTACAGATTTTATATGATTTATTTCACGGGAGAATATTTTTTTCTCTTGTTAAGAGATACGAGATCATCATCATTAATATATATAGGGATAATGCCTAAGTACCTCTTCAACCTATGCCTGAAATCTCAGAGACACACTTATACTATACTAAGGTCATATTACCCCCCTGAACCTTTTTTATTAATAATTTTTTACCCCTTTTTAGCCTACGTGGCACTATCTCGTGGGCCTAACGATGGTTGACTTTTTTTTCAAACTAGTGCCACATAGGCTAAAAAGGGATAGAAAATTACTTACAAAATAAGTTCAAGGATAATAGGACCTTAGTATAGTATAAGTGTGTCTCTCTGGGATTTCGGGCATAGGTTGAGGGGGTATTTGTGTATTTTCCCCCATATATATAACATGAAAAATGTTTATGTGATCATGTTTTCCTACTTAAATTTGGATAGGTTTGTTATGTATGGGCCATTCAGAACCCTAGACTAGAGGCGATAGCTATATTACTTTTATTTGAATTATACATATTATTACATTTTATTTTATTTTTCTAAAAAAAAGATGTACCTATATGATGTATAGTTCAACCGAAAAAAAAAGACTTCACATGTAATTTCAATTTCAAAATTATGAATTACTTTAGCTGAGGTATATGAGAGGACAAGAATGGATGTTGATTATATCGGCATATTGCAAGTCAAAAAGAAAAGATTTTGTCAATGAATTGAATTTTGAAAGTGAAAACTAATATACAAATCGATAAATGAGAAAATATTTTTATGGTAAATACTTCATTTATTATAAAATATTTTATAAGAAATAAATAGATTTTTTTTTATTTCATATATAGTATATACACTAATACAATAGGAGATGGAGGTGGAGGTGGGGGGTCAATGTATAAATGAGGCATTTTTTAGGCTCCAAATTTGAGGCCTCAATTATTATAAGTATTTTTTAATAATAATACATAAATTTATTATATTTTACTTTTAATTTATTTCAAAATATTTCAAAATATTTCTTTTTTTTATCAACTTTTATTAAAATAATTATTTTCTTCATTCTTCTTCGGAATAGAATATTTTTCCAAAATTTTGATTAGAACTCACCCGATTGTTTTAGTAGTTTAGCAGCCAATTAAGTAGGCAACTAATATAATTGCCTAAATTTTGAAAAAAAAAAAAACTTATCACGAAAATGACGATAGTAATATTATTTTTCTTTATTCAGAAAGTTAAATTTTTGGAAGTTGTACCACTTATAGATTGAATATTGACATATAAAACCACATCTTAATTGATGGGATTTTCATTGTCTATATGTATAGACTTTTAATTCCTCTTAAAGTTTTTTCAATAATCATTTTAATTTGTTCTTTCCTACTACGTACTATGAGGAATTTTTAGACTAATTTTAGGTACAAATTGAAATATGTGCCACCAAAATAAAGTTTAATTAACACTCAGTAGCTACTGAATCATAATTCGACTTGTAATTATCAATTTACGTCTACTTTCTAATTAATAATTACTTTTTTACACACTATTTCACTAAATACATATATCTATTCAATTAAAATAATCTTCAAAAATTAATTAATCATATTTTCGCTTAATATAATGACAACTGCATTTAATTTGAATTACTAGATGCGTCATATTATTTTCATTCAATTATTTGGAGGAATTTTATGTACAAATTGGAGTACTTTTATGTACATAGGTACTTTTTACGGTGATAGAACAATGATCACTCCAATTTTTTTATTTCTAATTTTTCTAGATGCAATTTTTTAGTCCAATTATTTCACAAAGTTTTAATAGGTGATTTTTGTTATTTAGTAGCTAGCCTGTTCGGTAAAAAGTAATTCAAAAGTTGCTTAGTTACTATGCAATGATACAAGTGTTTCTTTTAAACAGTTAATTTCAAAACTTCATTTCACAGTAGAATAATAATTTATATTTGGTAAAAATTTCGAAAGACTGTACAAAAAAGATTTTTAAAATATTTAATTTCTAAAAATGTGGTGAAACACTTAATTCACTACAATAACTTTTTTTTTCAAAAAAATAAATAAATAATCATATGTTTATTTGGATCTGGTTCATTATAATTTTATTGTTCTTGATTCGTTACTATTATTTGGATCTGATTCATTATAATTTTTGGACTAAACAATATCTTTTTAACTTGTATCACCTATCTATCTAGTAATTTCATAAATCCTTAGCTCATAAAGCTTTAGAAAGGGTACCAAAACTTAATATAAATCTCTTCACAATTTAATAAAAACAGTATTATCCAGAACTTCACAATTCAATAAACACAGTAATTATATCTGGAAATCAGAAAATTATTCATGATTTTGTCTCTCGAAAAGAGAGTTCGTTTGAATTAACTTAAAAATTAGTTAAACATGTCATTAAGTTCTTTTTAAATAAATTTTTTTTAAAAAAAGTTTAAAAGTCAAAAGTAAAACTTTTCCCTACATTAAAAAAAATTGACTTGTCGTTTAAGTTTAACCAAAAAAATTGACTTGTCGTTTAAGTTTAACCAAAAGTATTACTTTTTTTAAAGTCAATTCAAACGAACTCTAAATAGGAAATTTTTTAAAGATTAATATTGAGCAAAATTACCAAAATAACCATCACTGAGTTTTAGTCAATTTGAACTACCCTATTTTGCTAGAGCTCATCATATCCATTAAACGAAAAAAAAAACTTCAAAATTAAACCGTCCTTCCCCACTTTAGCTAAACATAATCTCCTCCTTTAGGTAATTAACTAATTAATAATTATATATGGACACTACATTTAATTTTTTTTACACTTTTTCCCTACACAAAAAGAAAGAATATAAAATATATTTGACAATCTTAAATACTTCTATATATAGTAAATATATAATTATAATCAGAATTGCTTAATACATACACTTCTAATCCAAAGTATATAGAACCTTCATGATGGTATCATAGGCAAAAATTGTTAGCAAATTTCAACCTCCAGAGTCTAGACCCTTGGTGAATCAAGTACTAGTGGTTCGTGATTTATTCAATTTTATAATTTTTAAATTCATTTATTAATATATGTATGCATCTAACATTTCATTTTATCAATATAATAATTGTGTTCTGTGTATCCATTTTATAATGTTTGCGTGAAACTTTCTTATATAGGTGATGAATCGAAGGATTATACAACATTTTTTGCTTCTACTCTTTCTATGTTTGATGAACTATGAGGGGGTTCGAAGCACAAAAATCCTTAAGCCTCCAATTAAAACGATTAAGGTATATAGCTAATTTGATGTGTATATAAATGAAACAATAATTTGTTTATTGTGTTGAAAACTTTACAGACTGAATATGGTGATATATATGATTGTGTGGATTTTTACGATCAACCTGCATTTGATCATCCTTTATTGAAGAATCACAATTACCATCCCCAGGTCACCGATACATCCTCTAACCATCAAATTTTATAATGAAAAATGAACAAACATTGAAAATTTTATTGGATGAACAGATGAAGCCCTCTTTGTTAACGAGAGAGAGTATTCCAACTCCATCGAGAAGTGCTACGTTGCAGCAAATGGGATTATCCGTCGAAGGTTGTCCTGCTGGAACAGTTCCTATTAGAAAATACACTAAAGAAGATGTTATTAGACAAAAGCTTTTACCGCCACCTGAAGGCACCGTTCACGTTGTCGATCCTCCACTTGCTAATGTAAGATTTTTGTTGTTTCGATTGATATTTAGTTTTTCCAATTAATACTCAAAATGTTCATATAGCAAAATTATATATATATAACATCTCTTGTAACATTATCTTACTTTTGCACAGAGGGACAACTTCAATGATTCCAAATCAAGAAGGATTAAACCTTTGAAAGGGTACAAGGTAAGTAAATATTACTACCTATCTTTATATATTGATTTATTTAAATAATGCAAATTAAATCACAAAATTGAAAATAATTAAGTCATGGATCGTAAGTACTCTTTTATGAAGAATAATTTATAGTAATTATTCTTTTCAGCTGGCTATTGTTTCAACAGAGGACAATCCAAATAACAAGTTTGGTGGAGCTTCGATGATAGCTGCTATATATAATCCGCGTAGTACAGGTCAACAACATAGTGCATGTCGCTTGAAACTTATTAAAGGAAAAAATATTATACAAACGGGTTGGAGAGTAAGTCGGATCAATTATACATATAACATATATTTCCTTATATATAATAACTATTTTTCATTTTGCTTTGTTAGGTTGATCCTACTCTATATGGCGATAACAGAACTAGATTATTCATACATTTCGATGTAAGTCTCCAACTAGTAATATCGTATAATTTCTTAAGATTTTTCCCTCAAATTAATCATCCTATATTTTTCAGGATGGTACAAATTCTTGTTTCGATTTGTTATGTCCTAGCTTTATAATTGTAAATCAACAAATCACTTTGGGTCAACCATTTAATCAGACTTCCAGCATCAATGGGAAACTCTATGACATGGCATTTCAGATAAAATGGGTAATTTTTCTTCCTTTATTTATATATAAAAAAGCTTTCATTATTTGTATGTTGTTCCTTTAATTATTGATATGTTCCAATTTTAGTTCATACCAAATGTTACTCAAAATATCATTATGGTCGTATATCAAATCCTTCAAAAAAAGAATAATTATCTTGTTAGAAGGATCTGACACATCATCACGTGAAGGATCTGACACATGATACTTTTGAAGGATCCGACATGCATTAATGAGAAAGGATTCGGGCAATATATATATACCTAAGTAGAAGCACCAATATTACATATCTTTGACCATGTTCAAATAATTTGTTTCATAGGATCAAGAGAAAGGGAATTGGTGGCTATTGATTGACAATGTAGCAATTGGTTTTTGGCCAAAAGAAGTTTTTGATGATTTTGAGAATTTTGCAACAACAGTTGAATGGGGTGGAGTTGTGTATAGTCCAGCTGGGGTACTTGAACCACCAATGGGTTCAGGGCTTTACCCTCTTATGAGAAGTACAGCAGCCAATGCATATTGTAGAGTTATTACACTCTTAAATGACAAGGGTCAAAACATTGATCTATTAGGTGCTAAGTTGCCAACATTTTCAACAACTCCTATGTTGTATGTTGCTGTTGATGTTCCTAATTATCCAGGTGTTGATTATAATCATACCATCCTTTATGGTGGACCTGGTGAAATCTAATTATTAATTCAATAATACAATATGTAACGTACGTGCATTTAGGACATTCATTTTTTTCTTTTTACTTTTTTCAAAGTTATGTTGTTTTGAGTAATTTGCAGCACTACATATATGATTTGATTAATCTTTGTATGTGTTGTGAAGATCCTCTTTTATCGTGTGAGGTTATTAAGAAAAGGAGATATGTGATGATAATTGAATCGAATCGAACTCACCAACAAGGTGAATGTTTAGATAGTCTGTGAGCTAATGATATAAGAAATACAAATAATAACTAATTACAAACATACTATATGAATTGATTATAATTAAATGAGCAAAAACATGGATGTATAAAGTTATTCTTTTGATTGTTAATGGACATTTGATACAAAATTATTGTAGGTAGATTTATCTTTATTTTACTAATTAGAAGCTAAAATTTCACTAGCTAGTAAAAGGAATTGTCATACAGGACCATATCAATTTTAATATTAATGATAGTTTAACAGAAAAACAATGTATAACATCAAATGTGATAAAAATTAATTTAAAATGATACATAGGAGAGGGACAATAAAGCATGTCATTATTATTGAGAGAAGCAATTGATAAAAAGGGCCTCTCTTTTTTATTTTTACCATATTAATAAGCATTTTACCACTTAATTACTTTAATATTATGCCAAATTTGTGATGGTAGATCATGTTGATGATAATATAGTTTTCTAAATGGTCCAATATAACGAATTTTTCACATACTGGACAAATCATACATTTTAATTAATTAATAATTAGACATATTCAAGTCATAGTGTATCACTAGAATAAAAAAGCATAATTTGTTCACATCAAATTGAGAAAGATTCGTTGCGACACTATTACCTCACATATGCACAAAGGGAAAACTCACCAATCCAAAAAAATAAATAACACAAACATTTAATGACTAAATAATAAATTACCATAACTCATTGATGAGTTTTATTAATATAAAATTTGACTTCTTGAACTTTTCTTTTCTAGAGGTCAATCAATTAATATCCAATTAAATAGAAAAAAAAAAGATCCAAATATTTGTTCACATTAATTAAATAATTATTCTCCTTATCACACAATATCTATTTTTAGAAGCATTTTTTTAAAAATAATTTTTAAAAAAGTGCTTTTGAAACAAAAAGATGTGTTTTTGACTAATAATATACAAATATAAAATAATAAGAAATATTATATTAAAAAAAAAATATTGCGTGAAACTTAATCAAATTCATGAGTTATGCTAATTAATTAATAAGAGATATATTCAGTGACGAATTTAAGATTTCCATTAAGAGAGTTCGGAAAAAAAAGAGTAGTGCGAAAGATTTGAGGTTTGAACTCCTCCAACACTAAGCCAACCTCTGATCTTGTATACAGAAGCTTCAAAATCAATATATAAACATAAAAATTCTTTAAAATACCTTAAATATACAACATAATTTTTTACAGACTCTAGGTCCGTCTCTGGATATATTGGTGAATATGTATATATGAGAGGGGTATTTTAATTTTCAAGAAATAATTCTTTGCTTCTGCTTTTTCTTTTAAGAAACATAAACATTTAGCTTCTTCCCGATAGCAGAAAAACTGTTTCTGCTTTCATTTAAAAGAATTTTCAAAATTTATCAAACACTAATTTTTGGGGGGGAAAAATATTTAAGCATTTTTCACCTCCTAACAACAATATCACACGGACACTAAATTTATTCACACTTTTTCCTCCACAAAAAGCAAGAATATAAAAACAGAAAAGTATTTGATAATCTTTTTAGTAAGTAAATCATATCCTATACGGTGAATCTCTGAATTAATTTCTCTAATGTAATCCAATTAAGTATAAAATCAGTAGTCTAGGCAAGAGTTGCTAGAAAAATTCAACATCAAGAAATTTGGTGAATCAAGTAAGTGATATCAGCAAAAAGATTATTAATATCCTCATATTTATGATTTTTTTTTTATTTTTTGGATGAATTTGTTTTTTGTTTATATATGTAGAAAATGATAATGAATCAAAGGATCATAGATCATTTTTTGTTAATGGTCTTCCTATGTCTGAGTTATGATGGGGTACGAGGAACAAAGTTGTCCAAACAAGAAGATACTTTGGAGTTGGAGAAGCAACTAAAAGTCCTAAATAAACCTCCAATTAAAACCATTAAGGTTTGAAAATTGTGTCTCAATAGCCAAAAAAAGGTTTCTAATACTCTTTGTCTTTCTAATATAACGTTAATCAGTAATATTTTGTTTTATTTATTAACAGACTAAATATGGCGATATATACGATTGTGTGGATTTCTATAAACAACCTGCATTTGACCATCCTTTATTAAAGAATCATAATTACCATCCTCAGGTTTGTCCTTTATATGTGACATCTTATTTACAATCAATTTTTATCATCAAACTTAAAATGAGTAATAATTTATCAAAGAAAATTTGGATAAACAGATGAAACCATCATATTCTATGATAGAGAGTGTTTCAACTATATCAACAAGTAATTACAAGTTATCAAAAATTAGATTATCTGATGAAGGATGTCCAGTTGGAACCGTTCCTATCAGAAGGATCACCAAAGAAGATCTCATTAGACATAAACTTATGCCTCCATCAGAAGATGTGATGTTCAACAATTTACTCAATCGTGTAAGATAGTATATATTTATTTATTTTTAAGTTCAAAAAAATGAATTTGATGAGTCATGTTTCACTATTTATCATTGCTACTTTATACTATAACTTTAAAACAAACCACTAAAAATTCATTGTCATCACAAATTAAATTTAGCATTTTATTATAATAATAATAATATATCTTATATTATTACCTTACTTTTGCAGAGAAAATAACCTATAAAAGGGTACAAGGTACAGAGAAATATGTTTAAATTAATCCTATATCTTTGGAAAGAATTCTCAAATTTAACTTATGCTTGTGTGTATATAGTTTGCAATCCTTCATACTGAAGACTCTCCCGATAACAAATTTGGTGGAGCTGGCGTAATAACTAATGTCTATAATCCTCACGTCGAAGGTGAACAACATAGCGCATGTCGATTAAAAATGATTAAGGAAAAAAATATCATACAAGTCGGTTGGTTAGCATTTCATAAATAATTAATTTCAATTGCTCAATTCTTCAACCATATTATAATTTTTTTTATTCATATTTAATTTTTCAGGATGGTAAAAATAGTGGTTGTTTCAATTTGTTATGTCCTGGATTTGTTCTCCTAAACACACAAATACCTATAGATGGAGTATTTGAACCCGTTTCTAAATATTATATTTTTATATATTTATCGACGACTCTTACTTGCTAATAATTGAAAATATGTAGGATCAAGAAAAAGGAAATTGGTGGTTGTTCTCTACGGAGTCTAATACACCATTTGGTTTCTGGCCTCGAGAAGTATTTGATAACGATTTTGCATATTTTGCAACGAGAGTTGAATGGGGTGGAGTGGTATATAGTCTACCAGGAATACTCGAACCTCCCATGGGTTCGAGTTTTTTCCCTATCGAAAACATTAGTTATGATGCATTTTGTAAAAATATGACACTTTTAGGTTATAGAGGTGAACGTCTAGAAAGTCAATTGTCCTCATTTTTATCTGATAGTCATTTGTATAATGTATCGACTATTCCTGATTTGATGTATTATGGTGGACCCGGTGAAAAATAGGTATTAGTAATATTTACGCCTATTTATCAATTTTATAATTAATAATAATATATTTTTATCTATAAGTCTTCTTGTCATTTTTGTAATAACAAGGAAGCATGTTTAACTTTTAAATAATTGAGAGGTATGTTTTTACTCTTTTTATGTCGAAAATATGTTAAATTTATTTTTATTTTAGAAATTAAATGTATTACCGCGGTAAATATATATATATATATATATATGAACTTAACATATATTATATATACAAGTGGAACAGTAGATAAATTTGTGAATATTGTTCAAAAATTAAAAGATGCACTTTTCGACTAATTGCAAGTTAAATATATTTCTTCAAATATGGCAAAATTAGAAATATTAACCAACAATTGAATGACCAAAAATGCTACTATGAGCAACAATTTAGAGATTCGAAGTCACTATATGTATCAACTTGAGCTATAACATAATTAGGGGGTGACAATGAATAAATTGTTCATTTTAGATACTTTAAAGTAATTTTAAAGTGTTTTGGATAAAATTTAAAAAGATGAATAAGAAGATATTTCAATTTATTAGTAATTTCTTAGAAGTAACATGATTTTAAAGAGGCTATTTGTGACAACTCACAACGCCCATTAGAAACTACATGAGACATGACCATGCACAAATCCTTTTTTAGTTCATATAATTTTTGTAAATTGTGTGTAATATTGTTCAAATCTTATAATAAATAGATAATAATCCCTCATCTCTGGTATGCTACGCGGTTCGAAGGTATAATTTTTTTGAGTTGACTATATATATTGATTTAGTGTAAGTAATGTTTTAATAGAATCTCTACGTCTAAAAAAAAGTGTAAATGACCAAGTGCTACATTCTAAAGCAATATCGTCAATTGCACCTCTAAAGTTAGTGACAAGAATACCTAGCTTAATTAATATATTGTCATTTTAAGAGTATTATATCATGGTCAAATTAAATTCCTCCAAGATTCAAATTAAGTAATATATTGACTATATGAATTATGTATCTCTCTTATAAAATGAGTAATAATAAGTAAAAAGTAATACTCCAATTAATGCATTCTCATTTCAAATCAAATTTGTTTTGTTTTGCTAAAATGACATTTTGAAGGGATCCAAATAATTTCATCTTAACTAAAGATGTGAATTTTCGGAATTGAAGAGTATCCAACTAGGTTTGCAGGCTATAACTGCAAGTACTTTGTTCACATACCAATAAATGAGGTGTTGTAGTAGTAGATAATATATACTCCCTCTCTCTTTAATGAATCAAATTCGTATATATATATATATATTGCACTCTCCCAACTTCTCATTAATTGCAAATCAAGATTTCATAAAGTTATAAATACATCTACTCACAAATTTAAGAAAAATGAAAATGCCCAGATCAACTCAGAATTTAAGATTTATAAATTTATAATAATCTCAAATTATAAATAAAAGGAAAGATCAAATAAAACGTTATATGCTTTTTTGTAAGGAAAAAACAAAAATAAGAAGCAAATTTTTTTTATATATCTCATTGAATTCTCAATAGATATACACCAGCGAGTAAAATCCAAACTTCATAACTTGAATTCGCCCTTGGTAATTGATAGGAAATATAAGAATAGTGATATATAAAGTGTGAGTAAAATTCAAACTTCGTAACTTGAGTTTTCCCTTGATAATTGATAGGGAGTACCAGAAAAATATACTCTCAGTATATATATATATTTATCGCCCCAAATTATCGATATACTAGCTAGTAACATTTGTTATGTTATGTATATTGTGAAATTAGAAATCCTCTTTAATTTGTCATGGAGCGTGATATAGTTTGTGTACCACCAAGCAATACAAATACAATAAATTTTGATTACACTACACATATATACTTATCAAAATAAATAAAATCAATGTTTTAAGACGATAAGTTCTCTATTTTTTTTTCTAACAAATGTCAATACCGTTAGGATAGACGTCGGGTGTCATTATAGATTCCATCCATTTTTATAATCATCAAAATTTTCATCCATCTTGTGTAAATTATATTATGATTTAATATAAGGATAAATCAATATCGAATAACTTTTTTTTTTGCCTCCTCAATTATATCATGATCTATTATAAGGGTATGTATGAACGAGTTTCTGCCTTCGTTCTTATTATTTTTTATTATATGTCATTTCAATTTAATTTTTTATTTTTAATTTAAAAATTACTTTTAAAAAAATCAATCCAAACATACTCTCAGTCTAGTAATCTCTTGCTTTTAGTTAAGGTTTGTATTTACCTTCATTATTCCTGAAACTAAAATATTACAAATTTAATTGAGGAGAACTAGTCATATACTTTTTTTATTATTACTATTATTAGTTATTTGTTGAATATTATTAGTTGTTTGTTGAATTTTTTTGGGGACATTCCTCACTAGTATTGGTATAAATTATTATTTTTCCATTTCATGAAGTTCATCTCTTATTCACATGATTTTGTATTTTAGTAAAACATACAATTTTTTAAAGGTTCTAGTATGGTTTTCTCCCATTTAATGCCTAAAAAAATGGTAATGAATCCACACCTTTCTAATGGAGGCCTTCAATTAACCCCTCCATTTATTTTCAGCACTATACATTGCATAAAACTTTAACTTTTTTCATTCAAGTTATCTTTTGGTTTTCTGTTATTTTAATCTCATGAACATATACATAAATGAGTTTGGGATACAGAAAAGTCTCTTTAATAATTTAAGATATTAATTGTAGTGTCTTAATGAATGAACTATAAGTGAGATGAAGGTGGTAGTTAAACTGATTTTCAAAATTAGATACAAACTTTATATCCACCATATTTTATTTGTCCATATATATTTAATATTTTGATTTGAAATGATAATTTTACCGTATTAGCGTTAGTTAGTAGATGATAGATATTTCTTCCTTCCAATCATAAGATTGTGAATTAGTCACAAGGGTACAAAAAGGTGGAAGCTTTCTAAATTTTTCTTTATCTAATTAGTACAAGTCATCTCGCTCATTGAAAATATATATGAAACAATTAGTATTAACTTCGTCCAAAATAAGTGTACTAACTTCGTCCCTAAATAAGTGTCATCTTAGAAATTCAAATTGTAAAAATATTTTCTAACTGTATTCTCATACTATTCATCTTCTTAATAAAATTCAATTGGAAAAAAAAGAAGATAAATTATAAATGAATATTGGCTAGGAAAATAATAAATGTTACTTTTGGCAAAGGGTGTGAATTAAAGGAAATAGTTGAAATGGAAACAGCACAATAAATTGAGGTTTTAATGTTTCATCTGTAGATGGGGGGATTTTAAATGCCAATATGAGAGAGTAGTAGTAGTAGGATTTTGGGGCATTAAAGTGCTATATCTACTTGTTTCATTAAATGTTTGGCCTGACCCTTTAAATGTGCTTGATGAACCCAATTTATGGTCACTAGCTTTTAAGTAAACTCACCTTCTTGCATGACCCTCTGCCAACAAAAATATAAGAATTTACTTCAAATTTTTCCTTCATATATAAAACACAACAATTTCTCTACTACTCAATATATAGTCATGGAATTCCCTGAACTTTCATTGGCTCCTTCTCATCTTGCCAATTATGAATCTCATCAAATTAATCTTCCCATGAAGAGAAAGCAAGAAATGATTCAAGCTAGTGTTGATCTTCAACTTAAAGATCCTCTTCCTTTGGATTGGGAGCAATGTCTTGATCTTCAAGTATTATATCCTTTCTTTCACTTCAAATTTTTAGTTATAATACGCACCGACATACATATATATATATAAAATCTTTTTGATACCATAGCAAAGCTAAAGTGTATATAATACAAAGTCAAATCCTTTTCTTATAGTATATGTTTGAACTAGGTGAAAAATTCTGTGTGCTACTATAGGGTGCAAGAAGATGATCGAATTCATTACTGTTTTTGTTTAACTAATGATGTTTATTTTGCAACAAACTTGCAGTCAGGAAGAATGTATTACCTAAATAGGAAAACACTGAGGAAGACATGGGATTGGCCAAAGGATCAAAAGCTAGACCTTGAACTAAACATGTCATCAAGGTCAATTCCAATGGATGATGATCATGATTATGACTACTACTCAAAGAAACACAACAGTAGTGGGAGCAACAATATGATAGCATTGCCATGTTCAAATTGTCATCTATTAGTGATAGTGTCACAGTCATCACCATGTTGTCCTAATTGCAAGTATGTTCACTCTCTGGTACTTTCCAACAAAAACAATGCCACCACCTCTACCCCAAAGTGTTATGACACTTTGAGCCTCTTGAACTAGCTACCCTCTGTTGTTGGTTGGAAAATAGGTTATTAATGTGGTGGTTATAAGACATCATGTAGTGTTCTTTTTTCCTTGTGTACTTGAAATAGTAAATAACTTTCAAATATCACTTTAAGCTTCAGCAATTTCTATTTAACGCTCAGAATGTGAAGTTTAAATCATTGAGATAATACGGAAAAACCTCCTGATATTTCCATTAATTTTGCGGAGGTTCTACTACTACACTAATCCATGTAAAAAAGTATTACTGGCCATTTTTTTTAAACAAAGGCATTTGTCACGTTGATAAATTCAGTACTAGACTGAATTTTGAACCAAACTATGTATTACATAGTAATGTTTTAACTCGAAAAGCCAAAACAGATGATGCGAGAAGAAGTAACAACTTTATACTGTATTCATGAATACATTGTTTTTATCACAACAGAGGATTTAATTTTTTTAAAAAATATAAAATTACTCATTACATAATTTTATAAGATAAGATAGAGAAAAAGAAGAGGGGGGGCTAAAGCCTTACTTCCAAAAGGTGGTTTTAGCATGAATTATCTACGGTTTCTAATTTATTATTTGATTTCAACATTAACTAATGGTAATTGGTAATTAAGTTTATCAAAAATTGACCGTCGTGTTTTATATACTTTAAAAAATCAAACCATGAAATGTCATTT